ATTTGTTAGATTCCAACATTGGCAAAGTGCAATATGACATGATATTACAGAGGTACATTCTGCTTGCCTTTATCGCCTGATCTTCAAGACATTCACTTTTAGGACTTGCACAATGAATCAATGGTTTGAAATCTGAGCAAGAGGGTATTATAAAAAGGTTTATTGTGTTCATCATCTTTGGTTTGGTGCTTTCTCCTCTTGTCCTAAAAGTAGGTCAGCTTCCTCTCTTCAGCCAATAAGAAAGGAGGGTTGAGGGCGGGGGCGGGGCCTAATTGAACAAAGTCCAGGAAGAATTGCTAGAGATCGGGGACAACAGCGATAACAGTCTCTCCTGCAACATCTACCCAGCATTTTGACGTCTACACGTCCTGTAACTCTGAGCTGTCAACATGGCTGACAACAGAGATAAAGCTACCGATCAAATGAAGGCATGGAAGCAGAGTAGAAGCTCTCAGGTCTGTATTTTGTCTGCATGTTGTTGTTGCTGTTTAGCGCTGTCTTTCTTGGGAGAAATGGGTGAGAGGTCATTTAGGGTAACCAGCTAACAGTCATAAGCTAAAGCTAGCTTGTCAATGGAGCTACTTTGCAGATATTTCCAAGTTATTTAGTGTTCTTAAATGTTTATTTTGGGGCAATGCAATCTCTGTTATTGTAAAGACTGACTTGCAGATCTGCCAGCAGTCGTTTGATCATGCTAAAATAACGTTAAACGTCAAATAACGTGAAGCAGAAATGACCAACCGAGCTTATTAGTCACCAAATAAACACACAAAAGGCTTTAAAATGTGTAAGGAGAGTACATTAGTGTAATGATGTAAGGTAGGTCATTGTCCAGGTGCATGTTTGTGGTTGAACTTCACCCCTTTGAGTTATATAACCAGAGCCTATCAGAGCAAATAGCTTGGTGCGTTTCCAGATAGTCCAGGGGATGAGGGGAGGTGAATAAGTACTACACAAATACCACAGTGTAGAATACTCTGTTACAAGTGAAAGTCATACAATCTTAATGCTAGTCAAGTAAAAGTACAAAAGTATCGGCCTCTTAATACACGTAAAGTACCAAAAACAAAAGTACTAATATGCAGATTGGCCCATTTCAGTATATTATATGTTTTGATTATAATTCTTGATGCATTCAAATGTTGTCAAAGCTGGTAAAGGTGCAGCTATTTCTAATTATGCTGCAGGGTAGCTTGTGAACTTTACTACAGGTGTAAAGTGTTATTTAGGTGTTGATCTGATCATATTGTTTACCATTAATCTATATCTGCAAAGTAACTAAAGATAATGTATTAATGTAGTGGAGTAAAATTACACTATTTACCTTTTGAATTGTAGTGTCGCCATGCACGAATAAGCTCTCTTAACTGTTTCTAATGCAACTTTATGTCGGAAACAGATGAGTAGATTTCCCGTAAATCACAAAATGTATTCTCATGTCTCGTACAGAGAGACATCAACACGCAGTAACACGTCCACAACGGCCCTCTGGGAAATGATACTTCCCCCCCCCCCAGCAATTGATCTGCTGCCCTGCTGAGATCACTTGAGAGTAAAGTTACCTGTGGAGACAATTAGTGGGAGAAAGAGAGACACCACAGCACATTACACATCTACTGTCCCTTTAATGTTAATTTGGGTTGTGTTTTTATCTTAGTACAGTTTCAAGGGGAAGTCCGATTGTTGTCATAATAAGCAGAGTGCTTCTAGAGGTTTTTTTTTTTTAAATTTGCAGCTGTGAAAACAATGAAGAGGGAACAATGTAATCCAGCAGGTTATGTGATTTTAGCATATGGATTTGGTGGATCCTGATTTCCATTGTTTCTGTTGCAACACTGCAAGCAACAGTGACATATCAGTTGCAGAAATGTGCATGAAGCTGCTTGCTTAGATACCAACTTTTTCAAATGTTGTGTCAGTCGACTTATCTCTAATGCATCTAGTTGCCTCAGCTCTACGTAGGAAGGAATTAAAATAGAGACAATAAGATAGTTCGTTGATTTAAAAGATTGGCCGGTAGACAGAAATGAATGTGCAACAGTTTTGCTTCAGTTATTTAAGCTCAAGTCAAAGTATGTGTCAATATTTCAGTTTGTGTGGAAAGACTAAGGTTGCAAAGGGGCGGAAAGTTTCCATGGGAAGTTAAGCTGGGTATTTTTGGAAATATTCGATGCAAAATTAACCAAAAAACATGATATTTCAACAGATACATTTTTTTTTTAAGTAGAACAGAACAAGTTTTAATTATTTTATTGAACAATTATTTGTTTCATTGAAGAACAAAAACAGGAATGTTGATATAATGTTACTCATCCCCCCCAACCCCACTCATTAAAAAATAAACAAAAATGCACCTCCCATCCAAAAATCCCCACAAAGTCCCATTCAAAATGTGAAATGAAAAGAGCCCTTCTCCCTCCAAAAGGTCCCATTAAACATGCACATCTTCAAGCAATCTCTGCATTTTGGCTAAACCCTTTCAGTCAATGGGCTCTTCCTGGGCCTCATCAGCATCCAACTCTGAGTCTTCCTCTTCAGTGTCACTGTCCAGCCTTGTCGTAGTGTGCTATGGCATGGNAACCCTTTCAGTCAATGGGCTCTTCCTGGGCCTCATCAGCATCCAACTCTGAGTCTTCCTCTTCAGTGTCACTGTCCAGCCTTGTTGAGGGTGGCTCTGTGTCACGCTCAAAGAGCCTTCGGTTTGCCCGAATGCCAACCAGTTGTTCCACTCTCACATTTGTGAGCCTGTTGCGAACCTTTGTGTGGTCTCAATAGCCATGCAGTAAGCAGTGTGCTATGGCATGGATATTCAAGTGTACTTGAATGTCATCTGTTTGTTTTAGTCAAGATTATGCTCAAATATACTTTCCCCCTATATTTAAGTTCCCTATGAAGAGCCAACCTTCAATTTTGAAAATTCCCAGTTTATTCCCGTTAATTCCCATGGAAAGTTTCAATCTTTGAAAATTCCCGGAATTTTGCAACCCTAGTAAAGACAGAGAGATCGAAATACCGTTTCCCACAATCCCCAACAAAGCTAAAAAGGAAAAAAGAACGGGCTTCTTCTGGCTTATTCAATGTAAATTTGCGTTGCTTATTTTGTTTATATTTATACATATTTCATTTATATATTACAAAAGTTGTTACCTTGGCCTCTCCAGCCTATTATAGATTATAGTACGATTTGTTTGCAACATTATTTGATTCTTAATCATGCACACTTCACAAAAGTACTTGTGAAAATGAATGTGTTGGTTTAGTTTGTTAAAATAGAGAGATGGGAGGACATCCAGCACTACCACAGGTTGGATTTGAACCTCTGCAGCAATGACTCATCCTTTAATTATTTCTAACATGGATTATTCTTGCAACAGAGGCCCGACACTCTGACCACAGGGGCCGGCCATCCCATAGGAGACAAGCTGAACCTGCAGACTGCCGGACCCAGGGGCCCCCTGCTGGTCCAGGACGTGGTGTTCACAGACGAGATGGCCCACTTTGATCGGGAACGCATCCCAGAGAGGGTGGTGCATGCCAAAGGGGGGGGTGAGTGTTGGCCAGTGAGCAGACTCTCCTTTGTAACTGAGTTTGAGAAACGTCAGCAGATTGACATTAAACATTGAAGTAGTGGTTTCTGTTTCTCAAAGCTCAGAGATCTAGTATCCTGTTTGTTATTACAAAAAGGATCTTATTGTTTCTTCCACCTCCTCCTTCTGTAAACAGTGTACTTCTACAGGATATGCTGCCGTACAAAACCATTTGACTGTTTAAACAGGGTTAAAATTGTGTGATGTTTCAACTGTTTCTGTGATATAGTGTAATCTTTATACTGTATCCTGATGCGTAGTTTTCATGTAAATCTAACTATAATGCTATGATAAACACACATAAAGGCATAGCACAACACTATCTCAGCAGTATTTCTACATTTTAATGATTTGCAACGAACACGCTCCCAAAAATATGCAAATCTGGCTACATAACCTGCCAAAGTCAACTGAGATTACTGACCATAAAGTAGGCACAATTCAAATCAAGGTCATTCATTGGTAGATTAGCTCCAGAAAAATGCTAATCCGTGCAAGGTGATCCGATCTTGGTCACAGACTTTGTTAAGTAACTTCTTCTTGTTGCTTTTCTCCAATGTATCGTAACATGTGCAATCAACTAAAGAGCTTTGAACCAGACTTGCTGATATATGAATATGAACAAATGATGACCGGTCTCATTATTCTCCCTCCATGATTCAGGAGCCTTTGGTTACTTTGAGGTGACTCACGACATCTCTCGCTACTGCAAGGCCAAACTGTTTGAACATGTCGGCAAGACTACACCTGTCGCTGTCCGTTTCTCCACTGTGGGTAAGAATAACCATTTCCTCTATTGTTTCAGTCTTACTTTATGCAAACAGATTTCCCCCCAAAAAGATGAAACACATATATATTTATTCAAACGACAGAGACAGCATAATCTATTATTTCCCATAAAAACGCTTGGTAAGAAATGCGGCTCTAGAATAGTTATTACTATTTTATTTAATTATCTGTCTTGAAAAGATGAGTTTTACAAAAGGAGATATAAGAAAATATGTTATTCAGATGGAGCTTTATTTAATTTAAAGGTGACCTATCATGCAAAATGCACTTTTGTACGTCTTTTATACATGAATATGTGTCCCCGGTGTTCCAGGGAACTCACCAAGTGTCAGAAAACACAATCCTCTCTATTTTCCTCCATACCCAAATCTCTTAAAAAGGGGCTGCAAGGGATCTGATACAGACTGATCCAGATTTGAACACTTCTGTGACATCACAGAAGTGGCGCTACGGCTATTGGGCCAACTCCACCAATCAGGAGGAGACAGCCACGGACATTGCCGTTGGAAAGCGCTTTGGCCCAATAGCCGTAGCGCCACTTCTGTGATGTCACAGAAGTGTTCAANTTTATCCTCTTGTGATGGTGTATTCCAACAGTCACCAAGTTTTGCTTTACTTACAGCGGTTGTGTAGTCTGTTGCAAATTAAAGCATTCATTGTCTCGTTTGGAAAAAAGAGAAAAGTTGTCCTTGCAATGCAACCAGCAACTGTTGACCAAAAAAAAGCATCTTAATATCTTCTTTTTAGTGCAACTCTCAAAATGTAAAACATTTCCAGTGATTCCTTGAGAGGTATCATCTTTGTTTTTTGTTCTTTTTTCTTTTCATTTTTACGTATTTCACACCTCACAGAATCTTCAAAATATCCAAAGCAAGAGGGTTTGTTTTGAGTGTTTTGTCAATTATTTATTTATTTTTTTCAACTTTTTGCATCTCTGCATTGGCATGGCCTTCCACAATGTCCGTTTACTAGAACATAAACACAGGAGGGGGGATCCAGACCTCCTGCGTATTCCCAGTACCTCCAGCCTCCGTGTTTGATCGTATTCAATCATCCTGGCAGAGCCTCGTGATTGACAGTCCAACCTTCTACCTCTGAAAACAAGGGCTAGGAGAAGGCGGAACAGCAGGGAAAACTGGAGGATGAAGAGAAGAGAGATAGAAGAGAGAGTGCGCTGTACAATGGGAACAAGCCCATATCAAGATCAATCAGGGAATTAGAGACAAAGATGAGAAAAAAACAGCAAAACCTTCATATAACGCAGTAGGGTTCCCTTGGTAACCTGGATTTTCTGCAGTAAAGGAGTGTGGTGCTGAAGCAGCGCCGGAGCTCCCTGTTGGAGAAGATGCAGATGAAGGGATTGACCCCGGCCTGGGCGAAGCTCATCCACACGGCCGCCGTCAGGTAGCCCCCAGGGACCACTGGGCCCCTCGCAAACACCCGCCAGTAGCAGGCGACCAGATAGGGCCCCCACAGTGCCAGGAAGAAAAACGTCATGATGTAGAACATCCTACTAATCCTCTTCTCTGTTTTGAATTCATCCAATACCAGTAGACGCCTGCGGCCTGCTGCGTTGCTGTTCTGCCGGATGCCCAGCAGGGTAGGGGGGGTGGGGCCTCGACCGAATCCGGCCAGCCAGTTGGCCGCCGCCTGCCCGCTGGCGCCAGGCCCGTGGAAGGTCCAGTTCTGGCTGACAGCAGGCACGAACTGGACAGGCTTCATCTTCCGACGGTCATGCACGAAGAAGATGAGCTTGAGGTAAACCAGCTGTGTGGCCAGGAGGATGAGCGCCAGCAGGAGCATGAAGCCCAGCGAGTCGTTCGCCCTGAAGGAACGGTGCTGGAACGTGCACTGGTCCTCCTCCCGGATAAAAGAGTATGTCCCTACGTCTAGCACCGGCGGGAACGCCATAGCCACTGACAACGTCCACACCATGCAGATGACAGCCAGACAGGTCCAGAAGGTCAGCCTCTTGGTGTAGAAACGGTGGTGCGCGATGGCAAGGTAGCGTGTGACGCTGACACAGAAGAGCATAAACGCCGTGTGGAAACAGGAGAGGACACCCAGGAAGGCGATCACTTTGCAGGTCAGCGTGCCGTAGGTCCAGGCCGATCCATTCTTGACCGAGGTGAAGACAAAGGGGAAGCAGATGGCGGAGCGCAGGATGTCAGAGGCGCACAGGTCCAGCAGGAAATAGTAGGGCGCCCGATGCAGGCTCTTGTCTTTGACCAGCAGGATGGAGATCAGGAGGTTTCCAACCACACCGACTCCAATGATGAAACCCAGAGAGGTCAGTTTGAGGAACGTGGCGAGAGGAGAGACATTCTGCAAGATGGTGTGGTCCCCTGCATGGCTATAGTTCGCCATAGATGGAGGAGGGATCATAAAGATAGCGGAATAGCTTCAGCCAAGTATCATGATCTAGAGGTGGCAGGGGGAGGCGTTATATCCATTTGGTGGTGTGCTTTGAAGAGGTTTCCAGGCATATAGGCAACCTCTCCTCTAAGGCATCCTTTGTTCCTTTGTCTCATCACACCTAAAAAGAAATACAAAATAAATCCCTGAAAAAATATAATCTACTCATCAGCACACAGTCCAACACAACAGCTGCATTGTTTTCAACTGCACACTGAGATAAGCACTTATTTCTCTCTGCATGCCATTTTTGTGTTTTTTTGGTTAACATTTCTAGATTTACAGAGCTTTGCCTCAGCTTGAATACTTTGTCAAACACAGACAGACAGACAGACAGACAGACAGTGATGGAGCTTGAGCAGACTATGAATCTGTTACAATTCTTTCAAGTGGCTTCGGAATTTCCTGAACAAAAGATGGCATAGCCCAGACTTCATTAAGAAACGACGCTTCTGAACTGGTTGAAAAAAAAAAATCTTGGTTTGGATATGTCATTTTAGGGACATTTTTCGTGCGCACGGTGAAACATTAAGAGAAATGCAGTCCAAAATAAGCTATTCTTGATCACACCCTACACCCTGCAGAACAGAGGACGGCTCTCTAAAGCTGTGGGTGCCTCGAATAAACTCGCACAGCCTTCGTGCATGGTGGAAAATCGACGGAGGGTGCATACATAATAAAGCATCCGTGTTTTTGTCTTGATTAAAGCTTCACTGGATTACTGTCCTCACGTTAATAAGCAGTGTTCTCATTAGGGCGTTTATTGAGCCAGTCAATTCTCCTCATCATCTTTTTTTTTATACAAGTAATTAAAAAGAGTAGCATTTACATTCAGAGACACTAAAGCCGCATTTCGACATCATTTGGCTTGAGAGTGCGCGGGTGTGATTACCAGTCAGGATGGATTGAAACGGATCGGTTGGTAGCGATAATAACAAGCCTGCTGATAATAAAATTCCGTGATTTTACACTCGATATGTATGCTTTCATTGTTTTTATGAAATGACACAGGCTATGGTTACATCTGATTACATAAATATCGCCGTTTGGAGTCTACTTACGCGTTTTAAAGCGTCCTTAGATCGTTTACGCGCGTCTGAATCCGAGGGATTTCAGTGAAAAAACAAAAAAGCAGGGTAAAATCATCGTCCTTTGCGTCCAACTCGGCTGGATAAAGCATCACCGAATCCGTACCTCCATTAGACTAGAATCATTCCCAAGTCCGCGCTATGGATTGCCCAGAATCGCAGCCACCACACAAGACAAGGCCAAAAAAAAACGGATAGAGCGCGAGGGAGAAATAGAGAGAGAGACAGACATCCGATCACAAGATCAATCAAAATCCTACCTGTTGAAAATCCGATTTCGTGTCCCTCCTGCCGGTTATTTACATTGCACCAGTCGGTTTTTTTTTTTAAATAAGCCTGGTTTGTTGCCTGCCCCCTTTTTTTCCTCCTCGGTGAATATCCTACAGTAAACGGAGCCCAGTGCGCATGCGCCCTGCATCCCTATTTGTGATCCAAGACGCGTCTCGTCTCTTGTTGCAGCAGCAGCAGCAGCTCCCCTCTCTCTCTCACGGTAACATCTGCTCATAGGGTACTGTGACGCGTTACATTATCACCTGGTAACGTTTGTTAGTGATTACTTTTTACTGACACTTGCTAAAATAGACATATTTCTCAATTTCATAGATTTAAGATTGATTTAAATCAGTGGTTTGTAAAAAAAAAAAGAGTAATACACAGAACGATGTTTAGTTCTTTGTATATGTTATGATTATTTAAATGTTTCTGACCTTTTTACAGGGTGTTTGCCATATCCATTAGGTAATAGCATCCTACTTGAATACATTTGTCTGCGTACCATCATGTTCACTCTACAGAAATGTCGAAGCATTATGTACGAAGCGAAGGGTTAAATCAGGCAGCCTAGCCACCTCGAGGTAGAATGACTTCCCCTGTACTGTACATGCATAATTGAGAGTCACTTTGCACACCGTTGTTAATCCTGCCCGGGTAGCATGATAAATTCATAGGATTTTATTTCTCAACCATGTATGGAGAGCTGTGATGTCATGAGCAGCTTAACAAGTGAACAATGATTCAACCATGCAGCCACATGTACACATACACAGTAACAATGCTTTGTCTGTAACTGGGCTATGAAACATGATTTTTGTTATGATCATACATGTTGGAAATGTGTCAGTGCTGACATACTGGGGGAAATGTGCAGATTTCTATTTTGTATGATAACAAAGGATTCAACTTAGTTACCACATGTAGTTTGCTCCTTTTCAATCCTATAGCTCACCAGATATCACAGACAGGGACCCACTTATTGATAATGAATGCAGACAGTGGGTTGTAGACAGGGGATACAGTAGACTCGGAATGATTAATGTACGCCAAATGCAACTTTGTTAGGGAATTACCGTCCAGACAAAGATGAATTAATGTGAAGGCCTTAACGATTTTCTGCATATCCCAATATTCTCTAGTGAACAATCACTCATTTGGCACAGATATTATGATGCATCACCCCAAGGATGAATAATGACTTTAAATAGTCAGCTATACAAGTTTGATAAAGTTGATTCAGGTTTTCTAGCGAGAACAAATTGTGGTTTTGTACGAGTAAAGCTATTATATTTGCTTTAATTGTATATTTACTCAAGTGCTGTACCTAAGTTCTACTTTTAAGATATAATTAAATTTCTAATCAAATGTATTTTGTATGTGGTTAATTAAATACCTTAATTGATCTCTTCCAACCAGCAAACGGTAAAATGATTTGCACAGTTTGAAACAGCAATAACAATATAATAATGTCACAGAGGAACATTTACAGCCTCAGGAGGAGTTATTCAACTTTTCGGAAAGAAATGTGCTTATTATTCTTTGCCTTTTGAAAATAAGGGTTTTATATGCAGGACTTTAATTCTAAATTTAGCGTTTGCTGAATAATAACACATTACGCCAACTCTGACTGTACGCAACAGACACTACAGGCCAACATGTAAAGTTAATTTAGAAAGTGTTACAGTGAATTGTATATACATTTCTCCATCTATAAAACCCATAGTGCACTCATGTTTGTGAATGAAAGAAGAGTGGAGTTATGTGATTACAAAGCAAACAATCAAAAATATCCTGTAGACACGAGTTGTGGAGAGAATCCATTTATTATTCTCACAGCTATTGTTGCATATTGTAACAGCAGAAACAGCAACAACAGCTCCTCTCTTTAACCACATGTGATATTGTGCTTTAAAACAATAGCAATGTTGTGTTGCACATTGCAGACCCATCAGGAAATCACAGTGATCGATCCAAGCATGGAAACAATAAACAATGCAAGCATAGGATAACATACAGTAGCAAGTATGTCCATAAAGAAGGCAACAGTGTTCGGTCTTTAATCTCAGCAAAGCAACAGTAGCAGTTTTTCTTTGGACTTCCTGGATCCTGCTTCTGCAACACGTGGTCCCCTCTGACGCATTAATCCCAATAAAGCACGTTTCTTATCAGCCGATCCGACACAAATCTCAGTGCCAGAAGGTGCACAGTGGATTAGAAAGAGCTATGCAGTATTGCGGAGGATGATAACAGGACAGGACAGCCGCACGATCACGAAGAGTCTCTCGCTCACAGCTGCGCGTTCCGCCTCCGTGCGTACCAGCCGAGGAAGGCGCAAAAGCCCACCCCGGCGAGGATGGAGCACAAGAGCAGGGCTAAAGCGTCCCCTGCGTCGTAAGCCTCCGCCGGGGGCACCAGGGAGAGCAGGAGCAGCCCGGTGATCGCTGCACCGTGGGGAAGTTGAAGTTTGGGAGCCATGTTGTTGCTGTGTTGACTTTCGGGAAGCGCCTGCGTCACAGTCAGATGACAGCAAGAGCCTGGACTTCCTGGTGCGCTCAGCCAATGGGAGAGCTGATTCATTCTAACGTGTGCCAACCATTTTTTTTAATGATAAGAGAGATAAGATAGTACTTTATTGATCCCAATATGTGAAATTGTTGAGTTGCAGCAGCATAAAAACACATGGCATTGTACAATCAAAATTAAAAGACAAGAAATAAGCAAGAAAGTAGAAAATATGTTGAATTTACAAATGAACAATAACAAGATATAAAGCAAGGTATTATATATCCATTAAGATTGACTTCATAGTTTTGTGAAAAGGCTCTGTTGTTGTCAGAGTTGGAAGAAGTACTCAGATCTTGTACTGCAGGCAAAGTAGAAGTAGGAATACTCTGTTACAAGTAAAAGTCCTGCATTCAAAATGTAACTCAAATAAAAGTACAAATTAGTCACAAAATATTCATTATGCAGATTGGCCCATTTCAGAATAATATATATTATATGCATTGATTAGTTGATCTTTAAAGTGTTCTCAAAGCTGGTAAAGGTGCAGCTAGTTTTAATGACTTTGTATACTGCAGGGTAGCTTGTGAATTTACTCCAGGTAACTAAAGTCTGATTTGAGTGTTGATTATATTTCACATTAATAATCCAAATCTGCAAAGTAACTCAATGTTCAAATAAATGTAATGGAGTACAATTTACCTCTATATTGTAGCTGAACATTGAAATAATATAAGTACAGTACTTAAGTAAATGTACTTAGTTACTTCACACCACTGATCGTTCTGATTTCATTTTCACAGTTTATACAAACTTGTTCTGATATTATTCCCCAGTGTGTGGATTTGTGACATTGCCGCTCTTATTAGTGACGATCAGTCTGACAGGCTGTCATTTCTTCATGTCCCTCCCCCCTCAGGCCCTGCTATAAACAAATCCGACTTTTTTTTTACATCAGTCATGCTCATTAACAGCTGCTGTCTGAGCTTCATACTCCATTTGAAGACAAACATGTGTTGACATGCATAGGCTATAACTCTATGTTGCATGACACACATGTTGGTCAAGGTCAAATAACATGGCTGGGGTATTTTTCAAGGTTTTTGAACTTCTCTGATTCATTTTACTATTTAAAATGTGCCAGGGAGAGATTATTTACAAAGAAAGAACTCAAATGCCATCCCAGCTGCTCTGTTGTACCTTGATACACCCCTGATCTACTTAAAAAAAGTTGAAAGTACTACAAATCGTCCGTGTATAGCGATGACTAAACACGCCAACGTCTCAGCTCATGCTACAAATTGTTTGGCTTGCAGAGCTGAGGGGGGGCTTGTATCTCTCTGTGAGCTCTCCTGGGGCACTTTGCCTGTAATTTAATTAGCGAGCACAAGCCAAAGTAAAATATTGACCTTGTAAGGCTGCCATACCTCTGTACCTGCCTGCTCCCAGTGAGGAGATGAATAGGCACACATTCCCTCTGCTCACTCTTCACGCTTCCTCATCATACACTCTCTCTCTCAGCCCTGCTGTCTGTTTGGCAACGCGTCTCACACACACTCGCATACATACAAGTTTCTGTTGTTTTTAGTCGTGTCTGATCTCTATGGTCGCATTTCGATGACCATATGGCCATTACAAGCTTCTTATTAAGATCATTAAAGCGCTGAATCTGTATTTTCTTTGTAGACTAAAACCTTCACTTCAGAGATGTTTTTAATGTGCAAAGCCTTCAAAAATGTCCTTCAGATTCACACTGGCAGATACACACAGAAGCAGCAGCGCTCACTGTGGATCTCAGCAGTGTTGGTAATTGATCAGTGGGAGGATGAGAGTATATCCAGAGAGGAGTGTGTTCGTCAAACAGGCCAGCACAGTGACATTCATCTTGCCTACTTATGTGCTCTGCATTGTAATGTGCAGCTCAGCAACAAGGCCCTTTTCTGAAATTCACCTCCATTTTTATGTGAGGAAGGATACAATATAATTCAGCTATTTTGAGAATGTGCTAATTTCTCCAAAGAGTATATTTGTTTGTGGTCATATTTGTGGAAAGGTACAGCAAGGTTATTCAAACTTCCACCGTGTGCTATGTGGTGGAAGGACTAAGTACTTATATCAAGTGCTGTGTTTAAGGGCATTTTTGAGGTACTTGTCCTTTACTTGAGTATTTCCATTCTATGCTACATCATACTTATACTGCACTACAAATACATTTTTTTTCAAATCAGTAGTTGTATAACTAATGTCCCAAGGAACCAGATACCAGTGTCCATGCAATCAATCCCACGGTCACTGGAAAACATTTCAAATCCAAACAAGGTACTTGACCGTATAATACTTCAAATAACAACTAGGTTTATGACTGTACTTGTATGACAAAGCACAGATGGTACAGCGCAGCAGCTAACAACATCACTTCACTGCAGCTTAATTGCCTGTGTTGCTATGCTATGCTGAATTGAAGTGATAACAA